TACCACCCCTTCCCAGCACTGCCCCCATGTTCTGGGAGATCTGAGCAGTGAATAGACCTGTCATTGTGAGGGTGCATGTGCCCCCTGACACAAACAGGATGCTGGTAGCCCTGGCTTAACCCAGTGGGACATACCCAGAGGTTAAATCCTAGCCCTGCCTCTCACTGGCTGCAGCCTTGGGCAAGCTGCTTAATCTTTCTGAGCCCTCATGCCCTCATCTGGAAAATGGGACTAATGATGGCACTGACCTCACAGGTTAGTGGTCAGAAGACACGAGACAATGCATAAGAAGCTCTTGCTGGTAAGTGGTGTGAAACAGTGTCATCATGAGCACATATATCAAATACACGATATGGCTACAGCAGTGTCAGGGCAGATGTGTGTCTCCCATTATGAAAAAGAAATCTCAAAAAGCAGAGGGTGGGTCAGTGGGCCCCTCGGTCTCAGGGGCCTCCAGGATGTGGCGTGAACCCTCTTCCCTTGCTGTGAGTGCTCTCTGGTAAACGTGGACCCGTGTCACCTTGCAGGTGGGAGGCGTGATGGTCAGTGCCCTCCGGAGGCCCTGCCCAGGGAGCCCCGTGATGTGATGGGCCACAGCAAGCTTGGCTGGCCCAGGGTAGGGGACAGAGTGTGACGCTGCTGCCCATGGAGCCGCCCAGGAATGACAACGGTCAGGTTGAGAAACAAGCTTTTCATTTTCAACCGAAGACAAACGGGCTGAGGAAACCAATGTGGCAATTTCCTAAATTCTGAAGGGCTCAGGGAGGGAAGCTGCCGGGACTCTGCAGGTCAGTGCAGCTTAGGGCCTGCGCGTGGGGAAAAGTCAGGTGCTTTATGGGGGGTCACTGTAACAACCCCTCTCCTTCCACCCATATCTAATCTCAGAGAGAGCAAGGGAGAGGCTATGGGAGCCATGGGGCATATCAGGCCGAGGTCCCATCCCTGCTGGACCACAGACAGAGGGGCTACGAGCCCCTTATTCTGAGACCTTTTGGGGATGTCACTGTCCCTACATGATGTTCACCCAGCCAGGGGCATGTGGGTTACAGTCTAGACAGCACCTCCTTTCTGGGTAGCCCCAAAGCTCTGGAGAGGTGAAGCCACCCTGCAGCTAAGACCACACAGCTCATTTTACCCAAGCCTGAGTGTCCCCAGATGCTCACCACAACCTATGAAGGGGAAACTGAGGTATGGAGAGGCTGTCCCTCACCCCAAGATCCCCCAAATCTTTCTGGAGTCCCTTCACCAAGGTTTTGAAAAGAAGTACCCTTCCTTAGCCTGAACATCCAGCTTCCTCAGGCTGATCTCCCTTGGGTGGGCAAAGGAAGACATTGGGTGTCTGATCAGGACAGGGCCTGGTGGAGAGGCCTCTACGAGGCTTCACCATGTGAGCGAAAAAGGCTTGAGGAGAGGAAGGAGGCATGTCCTGTCCCCATGCCCCCGAGTGCAGCACTCATCAGGAAGGGTCCAGGCACCCGAGACAGAGTCATTATTACTCAGCATCTGGGTTCACATGACAGGGTGTGACCCCCTCCATGGACTGAGAGGCTCTGGGGTTACCCCCTGATCACTGGTCTTGACTGAACACTCTATTGGTTGAGGGAGGAGGGCAGAATCCAGTCTCTCCTGGGTCCTTGCTGGACAGGCAGTACGAATGGAAGGTGTCTCGCCCCTTGAGCCAAGCGACAGGACAGCAGGAGGGAAGGAGCAGATAGAAACCGCCTAACCACTAGCAGCCTGTGCTCCATCTCCTTGGAAACTCTCTGGGAGACACTTCTTGAGCCACCCACTATGCAGGGAGACTCTGAAAGTGCAGGGAACAGGGGATCTTCCCTAGCACTGCGCCAGCTTGGGCAACTCCAAACCACCATCCTCGTTCCCTGCAAAAGCTGCTAGGTCGGGAGTCGTCTGTACCTCCTGAGCCTCCACACAGCCCCCAGGGGCTGGCAGCCCAGAATGCTCCTTCCTAAGAGGAGGAAACACAAGGTAAGTTGCCCCCAGCTGCCTAGGAGAACCTCAGGACAGCACCTAGGATATGGCCAGAGTCTGCTGGGGGCAGGAAACGTGGAGAAGACCCTCCTCTTACCTGCAGAAGGGGTCCCCATGGTGCTCAGGATGAGGCAGCAGAAGGCGAGCAGCGCCCTGGCCCGCTGCATGGCTATAGTGCTCAGGGTAGAGTGGGAGCCAGTGCCAGTGCTGGCGTCAGTTCTGGGGACCCAATACGGGGAGTCCCGCCCTTCAACCCGCCCCAGGGGCGGACCGGCTTGGGAGCTGCCTTGGGGCTGAGCTGGGGGGTGTGGAGGGTGGTGGTTTCTTGCTGAATCATTTGACCAGAAGCTGTTCACTTCGACATCTATCACTACAAAGTCAACCGCTTCCTTTAAAAAAGTTTCCAGGGGAGGAGGGAGAGAACTGAGAACAGCGAATAAATCTGTGATTTTCCATGCTGGAAACATACAAGGAAGAGACCTTGCCTTAAGATATTAGCAGGGATGTTCAGAAGCAGAACCAGTGAGGTTCTTTCTCTAAACCATGTATATTTCTGGACCAAGATTCAGTTCTCCCCGAAGTGTACGCAGCCGGGGTGAGTGGGCTTCTACCCTGGACAGGAAAACTGGGTGTCGACAGAGGGTTTCCGCTAGGTGGTTTCTACACTGGAATTGGGAGATGAGATTTCTTCCCACCTTTGTCTCAGAGGTGGCAAAAGAGAGGAGGGTCAGTTCCTGCCTCTGGCGCCCTTGACAACACCCTCTCACCACTTCCCACAAGGTCAGGAAGGGGGCTCTGGAGCCAGGTGGCAGGGTTTGAGGCTGGCTCTGCCTCTTAACACCGGGGTGATCTTAGGTGAGGGACAGCCCCTCCACACCTCAGTTTCCCCTTCAGAGGTTGAGGCGAGCATCTGGGTACTTCCTCACTGTCAGTGCTCAGGCCTGGGACAAAGTGAGCTGTGTGTTCTAAGCCGCAGGACGGCTTCACCCTCCAGGGCTTGGGGGCCACCCAGAAAGGAGGAAGGAGACCTGAGCCTCAATGGGCAGGTGCTGTCTGGACTTGCAGACTGTCAGTCAGGACTTGCGCCATCCAGTGGAGGCTCTCCCCCGAGGGACAAGCTGAATCCTCTCTGCCTGGCTGTCTTCAAGCTAGAACCTGGTCTTCTCTTGACTTTGGATTTGGACCCAGATTGTAACTTCCAGCAACAGCTTGCCTGCTTCTCAGGTCTTTGGACTTGGACTGGACAATACCCTCTGCTCTCCTGGGTCTGGACTTCTCAGCCTCCAGTATGTATGAGTCAGTTACTTATGATAAATCTCGATTCCCCCTCTGCCTCACCTCACCCCCTCACCCACGAATATTGGGTCTGTTTTTCTGGAGAAGCCTGACTCGTACATTTGTGCGTACATATTTGTGCCTGTGTATGTAAGTTTGTAGAGTTTGTGTGTCCATGTCTTGGGACCTGCCCATCTGTGTATGTGTCTGTGTGTGTTTCTGTGAGTGTGAATGAAAGGCTTTGCCTGTGTGTCTGTGTGTATATGTGTGATTGTTTGTGTTTTGTGTACTATTTCTGTCCCACTCAAGGCATGCCTGAGCTGCTGGGGGGGGGGGGTGTGCTGGACTCTGTGGGTCTCACTCATCCAGCCTTCCTCGCCGTGGCACCCAGAGTCATATTCTCCTGGGTCCTGAATGAAATGCAGATTCTCAGGTCCCAGACCTTCTGAATCAGGCTGTGAGTGAGCTCCAGGAATCTGTTTCTACAAACTCTCCATGAGACTTTTGGCCTCTCAGGTTTGGGAAGCACTCATTGAACCTTTTTTTCCCCCCTCCACCCTCTTTCTCACTGCATGCTTGACATCTTTCTGGCCTCCACAGTGTGCCCACTGCTAGCCCTGGTCATTCATCATCCCATCATGAGAAGACCGATTTGCCCACTCTCTGGTCTTAAGACAGGATTCTCTCACAGGATCGCTGGTTCTGAGAGGTGTGAATGAATTCAGAAGGAAGGTGGGCACAGCCAGGGTTATTGTTATTGTTACTGCTGGTCTTGTTTTGCCAGAACCTTCTGCATAGGGGTTCTGAGGCCCAATCAACACAGCTGGGGAGCCTGCTACTGCTCACTCATGTAGGGAGGCAGTATTGTGCATTTAATCTGAGAAACTCTGAAATTCCACCAAGGCAGTGCCAAGTGGTAACTCTTTACAGCCTCCCCTCAGGGTGGAGGAGGGAGTTTCAGCTTAGGTGGCATGGATCTGGGCAGCCTGGTCTGTACGACTCTCCTCTGCTGCTCCCTGTCTGGAGTCCCAGAGGTCGGGAGGTGGCCACACAGCTATTTCAAACACAATGAGTTTTGTTATGAAGGATACTTCTCAGGCACAGACAGTGCTGCCGTGTGAGTTCCCTGGAGGTCCTGCTTTTCGGGTTACTTGATTCCATCATGAATCAATTTTGTCATTTGAAAGGAAAACCCCAAGAAGTTTATCTAGCATTTTTTGCTACATAACAGATTAAAACAATATGCACTTATTATCTCACAATGATTGTGGGTCAAGATTTGGCTTGGTTACTTCTCTGCTTCCAGGACTCCCAGGTTGCCATCCAGGCATGAGCCAGGCCTGTGGTTCCACTGGAGGGCTGGGTGCACTTTCAATCCTATATGCTATTGGAAGCCATGGTTCCCTGCTGATTGAGCCTAGGTGGCTGCTTGTTTCCTTAAAATCAGCAAGGGAGAGAGAGCATGTCTAGAAAAATGGGCTACATTCTCTTGGAGGTCATCACTGAGGTGACCACCTGTCACTTTGGCTCATGCTATTGTTAAGAAGCAAGTCACAAGTCCCGCCCTTGCTCCATGGGAAAGGACAGCACAGTCTTACATCTCAGGGGCAGCGTTGCAGACTCTTTGTGTTCTCCTGCCTCACTCAGTGAGTAAAATTCAGCGCAAACACTCTAACTCTTTCTTAGAAAAAATGACCAGCCAGGTGCAATGAGCACCAGTAAGTGTAATTTCTTACCAGAAGAAACCAGGCTACTCATAGAAGTGACTATTCCAGGCCAGGAAGGGAATAGCCAGGAGTCTCTTGTCTTCCTAGCGAGCCCTCCAAGTCCACTGGGGTCATGTCCACTGGGGTAGGGTCAAAAGAACATGGGTGCCAACCTGAAGAGGGGACACTGGGCTTAGTGGAAAATTCAGCACTGACAGGAATGGTAACTGCAGGAGAATGAAACACACCAGGTATTTGTAAACGGTAACTTGACGATGATACTTACAATGATTATAGTCATTTTGATAGATGCTCAGAATTCTCTGAGGGCTTAGAGGTCAGTGAGACCCCTTCTCCTAGCCCCTGACCTGTTCCGCAGTCCAGTAGCGGCCTGGTGTCACCTTTTCCCCTAGAGAGTCAGTTCTGTGTTTATATTTCTCTGAAGATGCAGTTGATACAGTTTTGTCCAGGGCCTCCCTGGTGGCACAGGGGTTAAAGACAGCACTATCAGTCTATCGCCAGCCATTGCAGCACGAATTAGATTCCACAGCTGGCCAGGGTGGTGACCACATGGTGCAGCAGACCGCTCCTGTCTCGCCTGCTGCTCCCCTCAGCAGTGTATTTCACTAGATCAACGTCTGTTTTGTTCCCCGCTCTGTCTCTGGTGAATCCTCTCACACCCTCCCAGCCCCCACCCCCTGCACCTCTGGCCTACACTCCAGCTCTTGTACTCTTGTAAGCATAAATAAATAAATCTGAAAAACAAAAACAAAAACAAAAACAAAAACAACAACAACAACAAAAACAAACAGTTCTGTCCAGCTGTTGCTAATGTGTGGAGAATTTTTCCGCGTGGTGGCGCTGTGATATAAGAAATGCGCACCACCTAATGCAGACTTTGTTTCCCAGCTTTGTGTTCAGGGCTTGGACTTCTAGCTCAGGTACCCCTGGTGCTGCCCCCTCCCGTTCTTGGAGGTGCTCCAGTCCCTACATCTTGCATTCTCCTGTGATAGTGAGGGGGACTTCAGCAGTCCTTGGTACTCTCCAGGAGGTGTGGCTCTGTGCCTGAGAAATCACTCTCTAACCTGCAAAGCTGCCTGAAGTTTAAGTTCCCAGTGAGTGGGAAGACATTGCGAATCTTTAAGTCCGTCCGGTCCTTCACACACCCTGATGAACCTCACTACTGCTCAGTGTAGAAGTGCAAACCAATAAGCGTCTGTTGTGATTGTATCTGCAGTTCAGGGACTCCTGTGGGAATGGCCCATCTCCACCAGGTCTGAGGTGTCAGCTGGGAGGATCCAGACACTGGGGCTCGGCATCATCCTAGCCTGCTCACCCCGACGTGTGGCGCTGGTGCTGGCTGTTGGCCCTGACCTTCATGTAGCACATTGTCTTTGTGACATAGTCCTGAAAGTCACCTAGTGTCACTTCTGCCATAATCACAGACCTACTCAGGTTCAAAGGATGGAAACAAAACAGACCTCATGTTGTTGGCATCTTTGAACAGTAATTTGAGCAATTCCTAGAAGAGGCTGTGTCCAGAGGATAAGGAGGAAAAGGTTCAAGGCAGCATGTGTGGGTGCCCGGAGCCCAGTGTGGCTCCAGGATGGGGACACAGAGACTTTGAGGGAAGGCACCTCTGACCTGTCTTCCCTTCTGACTAAAGCCAGGCTCTTTGCTCTGGTTTCATGTGATCATACTTAGGGTCACCCTGGACAGCCAGGGTATTTCCTTCCCCGGTCCATCCCCCGCTGGAAGTAGAGTTATCTGGGGGCTGTTACTGTGTTGACCACAGGATGTATCGGGAGGGAGAAGATTCCCTTTTGCTGCTGCTGAGCTCGGGCTGGGCCTGTGATGGGGTGCTCCTCAGGTCCTGGAGGGTGGTGGTGGGGGAGACCTTCGAGCTGTGCCCCCCGACCACCTGACGGACTTCTTCCTCATCCCTCAAGAACAGTGTCTCTTTGAGTCCCCCATAGCAGACCCTGAGACAGGTTGAGACAGAGGTTGGGGCGCACACAGCATATCTGGGAGGGGATCCCAGTGAGAGATAACTGACCATGGCCAGACCACACGCTGACCTGCACCCGCAGCACCAGCACAGGAAACCAGACCACAGGCTCTGCAGCAACCGTCCCAACAGTCCGGCGTGGTCAGCAACAGCAATGGAACAGCCGGCTTCTCTAATTTTTGTCTCTGTGTCCAACTAAGTACCAACTAGGGAAAACAGCTAAATATGCTCCCCTAACCAGCCACATGGGGTGCCCCACTTCTAGTTGCCCACCTTCGGCACCTTGAGGCCAACAGCCTCCCTTGGGGCACACAGACGCCTTCCCTTTGCTCCAGTGTCAAGTTTTCCAGCTCTCCAACCTGCATTTACTCGTCTGCCACGTACCAGGGCAAGAGCTGGTGGCCCGATCCCGCACTCTTAGTATATGATCTTTCCTGCTTTCCTTTTGGGTGGTCTCGGTTTATTTCCACATCAGAGACTGGTGAGAAGTGTGTCCCACTTGGGCAGAGGGTGGACTAGCAGGTCATCACCGGGCCTCTGGGGTTTCAGAGCCATTCCCTTAGAGTGAGGAAGCTGTGGGTGGGGGAGGGGGGCACCCCAGTATTGGTAAGACAGCCCTCCCTCAGAGCCGGGGTTTGTGGTGTTCTTCCCTCAGCATGTGGGGACCCTGCAAGGCCTGGGGTGTAGGTGGAGCAGGGGGTGTGGGTGGAGCACCAAGAGCACCTCCCTCCAGGAACAGCAGGCTTCAGGGTGAGATTCTTTTGGACACTGGGTTCTGATGTAGCTGCTCGTCAGAACAGCAGCCCCCATCCCAACTTGGTAGAAATGTAGATTCTTGGTTTCTCAGTGAAACCCCATTCTGGGGATCTGGGTGTGGCGCTGGCATGAGTATTTTACAAGCTCCCATGCTGGGGTTCCAGGCAGGCCCTAGAGCACGGTTTTCCCCAAGCCACTCTCAACTGTCTGTTCATCTGACACACCTGTACCATGGCTCCAGCTTCCCTCCTGCAGGTTTTCCCTCCCCATTATTTTTATTTATTTATTTATTTATTTATTTATTTATTTATTTATTTATTTGTTTGTTTATGCATACTAGAGCTGGGGTACAGGCCAGAGATGCAGGGGGGTGAGAGGATCCACCAGAGACAGAGTGGGGAACAGAACAGGCAGACCGACCAAAATACACTGCTTTGGGGAGCAGCGGGCGAGACAGAAGAGGTCTGCTGCACCATGTGGGTAGCTCCCTGGGTCCTGGGGATTGAACTTGTGCTGCAGAGGCTGCGGATTGTCTCATAGTGCAGTGCTTAACGCCTTGCGCCACCAGGGAGGCCCTCCTACCTCATTTTTCACACAGTGCTTGCTGGATTGAATGAATGGAGATAGCATTTCTGCCTCCATCCCTCTTCTGCATCTGATGTCACTTATTCCTGCGTTAATTAAAGGCCTCAGATATCTTCCCTCAGGCATCTTTAACTCAGATGTCATTCATTTGGCTGGATGCTACTGCAGACCTGAAGGCAACATATTTCACTGGCTTTCATTACCATTAGTTTCTGTGACCCTTGCGTAAAATTTCCAGACTGCAATTTCAAGACCTGCATTGGTTTTCTTGAGCAAAGCCCTTCTGTGTGCCTGAGTTAAGATTTGTTTATATGTCCCCTTACCTTTGTCCCATCTTTTTTGAGTAGTTTTACTCTTGCAGATAAATCTGCTGAGGCGCTCACTCTGCCAGCATCTCCAGTATAGACCCAATCCGGGCTAGCTGGGTTTACACATCGTTGTGTGTGGTGTCCGTTATCACCTGATATCAGAGACCCATGAATCCAGGATCAAAGGGCGGTCACCAAACTCAGCTTTTCTTTTTCTTTTTTTTTTTAAAGATTTATTTATTTATTTATACAAGCACTGGGTACAGTCAGAATTGCGGGATGGTGAGAGAATTCACCAGAGCCAGAGCAGGGAGCAGAACAGGCAGACGGACGAAATACACTGCTGAGGGGAGCAGCGGGCCCAACAGGAGAGGTCTGCCACCCCATGTGGGACCCTCGCCCAGAAGCCGGGGATCGAACCGGCGCTGCAGAGGCTGCAGGCAGCTTCGCAAGCCAGTGCTCAACCTCTGCGCCACAGGGGAGGCCCCAAACTCAGCTTTTCACTTGCTGTCTTCCTGCAATATTTTACTACACAAATTTTCCAACTTTTTCAGAAAAGTTGAACAAATTATCCAGTGGACACTCATATGCTCATCCCTTCTACCTTTGCCTTACCCACCACACCACTCCAGCCATCCATTTATCTTACTATTTTTGTACATTACAAATTGAGCTGCACTTCAGCTGACGCTGAATACTAGGAACTCCACTCTGCCCAGTGAATGGCTGCTTGGTCTCTGTTTAAACTCCTCTGGAGACAAGAACCCGTTACCTGCTACCTGCTCTTCCATCTTTTCTGGCTGTCACCAAGTCCTCTTCTGTATCAGGGTCCAGTGATGGGCTCTTCCAGGTATGTCTATGTAAATGCTGGCATTGAAGGGAATTGAGTTGACCCCTGGGATTGTTGGAGCCAGGTGACTGGCTCCACTACAGGACTGGCGATCCAGGAGTCTCTGACAGGGGAGACTGAAGTAGCTTATCAGGACCCCATTTTGAGAATTGCTAGTCTAAACTTACATAGTAACTCAGGTACAATTACCCTTAAAATAACTGGGTAGCCAGGGTCGTGGTGTCCTATTGGGATGTTCCTGGAAGCATCTTCTGCCTGGAGGATGTCACCTTCTTTACACTTAGGGAGGCCACACAGCCCTTGGCCCACGGGGCCCTGGACACGCCTGGTTCCTGGGGACTGTGGCCACTCGCTCCTGTCCTGGCGTGCTCTCTCCTTTGCAGGCCTCAGATGCTGGCTTGGGTAAATTCAGCGGCCTCGCTGTAACTTTCCTCTCGACCTTGGAGTCCACTGGCTTCACTGACCACCAGAGCTTGGGATCACAGCCAAGTCCCCAGAGAGAGAATGAACAATCACTCCAGAGAATCTTTGTTTACCTAATTTATTTCCTTACTGTCCAAATCTAAAATGTTCCATGAAAAAGCAAGTGTGTCTTCAGGAATGCCTTTGCTTCATGCTGGAGACTTGAGGAACGCTCTCTTTTACTCTCTGCTTTTACAAATTAAGTCATTAAAGAAAGAGTAAACCTGTGTTATTTGTAGATAGCTTTTTAGTACCTACATAGATGGCCGGGTCGGGGGTGAGCATGAATTTCTTTAATTTGTCCATGTTTTTGGGGTTTGGCTTGAACTCACAGGCCCTCTGTGAATGAACTCCTGTAAAAGCTTTAATTAACTCGTGCCAGTGTCAATATGTTTTATTACCTTCCGCAGCCCACAGCTTTCCCCTGTGACTAATTTACTCTGCTGTTTCCGGCTGCCGTGGTGAAGGCAGGCACTCTGCCGACTCGGAGTGGATAAAGCTTCTTATGGGCTCTGGTTCCAGGATAATTCCTCTATATCAGAGATGATAATGATAATGGCAGGCCTCTCTTCTCTGCACAAAGCATCCCAAGATCTAGTCAGAAACCCCTGCAAAGAGGGGCTAACCTTGGAAATATGACCTTGATAGTGGCCTCTGAAGGCTGGAAGTGGGGGTCTGAGATGATTTCAGGACTGACCATTTCATGAAAACTGTTTCAAGAAAACTTTAGGCCTGCTTTTTTCTCCTTTAAGTGTGAAGGCAGAGATCTTGCTCCTCAGAAGGTCAGCATGGGGGTCACCTTCACAGTTGCAGATGGCTGTGGAGCTGCTGGGTTCCACTGGTTTGATGGGCTGGGGTTTGTGGCAGCATGGCCTCACGGGGTGGGACTTAGCTGCACTCCTGTGTCTCTGCCCACAGGACCAGAAAGACTTGTGGATAAACACTCCTCTGAAGGGCACATTCCCAGCTCTTGGAGTCCAGTAGTCCAAGATGGGCACTAGCCCTCCTTCCTGCCTCTCTGACTCACCTCATACCCTTGGTGAACTGGGGTAGCTTCCAGCAAACTTCCAGTCCTCTCTCCCAATCTGCTTTGGGGAAACTCAGAAAAGGCGTGAGGTGGGGCTGAGGGACACAATATTAAGGAGAATACAGGACATGGAATGGGGCCCTGAGGGGCATAAATGGGAGGTTGTGGAGAAAACAAGAAACTAATTAAAAATTTTATTATTCCTGTGCTCGCGCGCGCACACACACACAATCACACACACACACACACACAATCTCACCAGGGCAACTGTTGCCGGCAGCTTCTTTCTCCACACTCCTACAAATAGGTACACATGATTGCCACTGAGCAATGCGGTTCTTTCCTCGACATGGCTAGTTCAGAT